CCCCCCCCCCCCCCCCCCTTCGTGTTCCTTGCAGGACGAAGCAAAGAAAACCCTGAGTTGTCCGTCCGTCCGTCCGTCCCGCTCGGCCCTCCGTGCTCCCAGCCTTCCTGGCATCTCCGCAGCCCCGATGCAGGCAGAGCCCCGAGGCCCCCAGCTCCGTGTTGGCGCCACGGACGACGTGGTTTTGTTTCGTTTCTTTCTGTTTCCTCCTCCTCCCCGTTTAATTCATCCACTTCCTGCAGTTCCACGCTCCGCAGTGGCAGGGGATCTTGTGCTGATCGTCCTCAAAGTCGAACTGGTAGTCGTAGGTGAGCTGGGGGGGGAACAGGGAGTCACGCGCTGCTGTACCCCAACATCTCAGCCCTGCGTTCCCCCCCCCCCCCCCGAGGCCCCCAGACCCCCTGAGCCCCCTCCCACCCCCTCCTCCTGACCTCCTCCCCTTTGGGGATGCGCCGGCTGGAGATGATGATGATTTTGTCCTCCTTGTCGAAGGTCACGACTTCGGCCACGCAATTTGGGGCACATGAGTGGTTGATGTACCTGGGGGGGGGGGGGGGGGGGGGGGGTACCAACGGCATCAGCCCCGGGCGGGGGGAGGCACCGGGGGTCCCTCTATAGGGGGATGCGTTGTTCTGTGCTCACCTGGCCGGGCCCCCCGTCAGCGTGGCGTCAATGACGTGTTCGTTGTTGATACGGAACATGTAGATGCCACGGTTCTGGTGAGGACAAAAGAGGGGAGGGGGAAGGGGGTCACGGCTGCCCTGAGGTCCCCTCATCCTCACAGAGCCTCTCTGTCCCCCGTGCCGCAATCAGAGCCCCCTGGCCCAGACTGCAGACTCTCACATCCCGATCTGAGACCCACCGCTCCACACCAGAACCCCCTGTGCCCCACCGGACCCCCCCCCCCCCCAACCAGCACCCCCTGCGCCCCCCCGGGGGGGCCCCCCCCCCCACCCCACCAGACCCCCACCTGCTCCTCGTAGATCTTCTCCCGCCGGTTGGCCACCTCGTTGCGGATGATGGTGCCGATGTACTCGATGACCATGGTGTGCTTCTCGATGTCCTTGGCGGCGTAGAGCCCCAGGCCTTGGATGCGGGACCGCGCCAGGTACACGTTGTTCTTCCATTCCGTCTTCAGGCGGCGGTACTGGGAGGACTTGGAGTGCACAAACTGCTTGCTGTACGGCGTGTTGGTTTCGCCCGTGAAGGTGCTCTGGTAAGCCTTGGACATGCTTGTGCTGTTCAGGGTGTGCGGCCTTGGGAAGAACCAGAGGGGGGTTGGGTCAGAAAGGAGGAACCCCTCCCCCCCCAAGGATCCATGATGGCAGCGGTGCGGCCCCCCCACAGCTCACCGTTTGTAGTGGGTGAGGATTTTGGGCTCGGCGCGGGCGCAGCCGGTGGGGTTGATCATCAGCGGCAGCTCCATGAGCGGATGGCGGCCGTAACGGAACAGGTAATTCTGGCAGCTCTCCACGCCGGGCAGCTGCGGGGAGGGGGGCAGAGGGACCGGGGGTCAAACAGCAGCACCGCGACACCCCAGCAGCCCTCCCCTCCCCTCCCCTCCCCTTCCCTTCCCGATGCGAGACCCCAGCCCAGCCGGCCCTGGCACCCACCGACTCGGCGATGCGCAGCACCGCGTGCACCGTGAGGCCGAAGAGCTCCTCGCCCTTCAGATACTCGGGGAAGAGCCGCAGCATGTCGGCCTCCTTCCTCATCATCGCCACCGGCTCGATGATCCGGTTCCAGACAGCTGCCAAAAGGAAACGGTGCTGAGCCACGGCGTCGCCACGTCCTCCCCTTCCCCGCACGGCGCCGAGCCCAGCAGCCACACCGGCACGGAGGACGGCAGCGGCGGCTCCCTGTTGCTCACCCTGCGGCGAGGAGTCGGAGAAGACCAAATCCTCCAGGCCCTGCTCGATGACCTGCACCACGAACTCGGGCCGCCCGTTGTTCTCGCAGATGGTGCAGCGGTAGCAGCAGCGGCGGTTGTTGGTGCGCAGGCTCCAGTAGATGCGCGTGGCCTCGTAGCCCACGGGGTACAGAGCGGTGACGCTGTGAAAGTCGGCCATCTGATGGGGCAGCAGCTGCCCGATGGCGTGGAAGACCAGGCCGCCCACTCGGAACATGTGCAGCCGCTCGCCGCGCTGGATGATGCTGGCGATCTGCTTCACCTCGTCCCGCTCGATGTAGACGCGCCGGAAGACGGTGAAGGAGCTCAGCTCCTGCTCGCAGGGCCCCTTCAGCTTGTGCAGCGGGCACAGCATGGTCTTGTCCTTGAAGAACATGCACTTGGCGCGGATGGCGCAGGCGAAGTGGTAGACGCTGGGGCAGCGGATGCGGTTGCAGCTGTTGGTGGCGCCGGTTTTCTGGCACAGGGAGCACTTGGTGAGCAGGCCGCGGTGCAGGGCCACCTCCACGTTGATCAGCGCCCCTCCCTGCGTCTCGTACACCTCGGTGGACCACAGGGCGCAGTTCAGGTGGACCCAGAGGTCCAGGTCGAGGTTGAGCAGGCGGGCCGGGCCGTCCGTCGCCCCGTCGCCCTCCTCGTGGCAGAAGCAGCAGCGGCGCAGGTCGCGCGGCACCTTCTCGGGGCGCAGCGTGGTGCCCAGCTTGTCGATGAACTCGGCGATCTCTTTGTCGCCGTCCCGCTTGGCCCCCCCCTTCTGGATGGTCACCAGGAACCGCAGCCGTTTCCACCTCACCCCCTTCCACTTCTTGAGCCGCGGCCGCGCTTCGTCTCCGTCCTCCGGCGGCCGCGAGCGGGGCTTGAAGCGGGGCGGGGAGTGGGGGGCTGCAGGGCCCTCTTCCCTGGGAGCCGGAGAAGGGGCGGGGGGCAGCGGCGAGGGGGGGGGCGGGGGGGGCTTCGTGGGCGGCCTCGGGGTCGGGGACCCTGGCGGCCTCAGTGGGGCTGGATGGGGAGGGGACGGAAGGGGACAGGGGGGGCGAGGGCTCCTGGGGCATCACGGAGAGCTGCCGCACGTCCAGGTTGGAGACGTTGTTGACGTAGCCGTGGTGCAGCGTCTTCTCGGGCACGGGGCTCTCCTGCAGCGCGGGGGGCGGGGGGTCAGAGCACCCCCACGGAGTCCCGCTCTCGACCTCCCCATACGGCACCCCGCAAGGACCTCAGGGAACCCCGCAGCGTTCCCAACCCTGCGAGGAGATTCCCGCCCCTCCTGTAGCGACAGGGGGCCGCCGGGACCTCGGCGCCTCTCCCCAGGGAAACCTCAGCCCTGCAGAGACCCCCCACCCCTCAGCCCCCTTCCCGTTCCCCCTGCAGCCAAAGCCTCACGCAGACAGACACCAAACCCTCTGCCATTTTCACGGCACGACCCCCACCCCGTGTTGACCCTTCCCCCCCCCTCTGTGGTCACAGAGACCCCCGTCCCCCCCCCCATCCTGGGGACCCCGCTGACCTGTCGGAGCAGCGTCAGGAGGTCCAGCTCGCCCTTCAGGCTGTACCCTGGCAGCACTGCATCGAACTGCTTCAGCCACTCAGAGCTGCTCTCCGGCACCTTCCCGGCCAGCACCACCTTCTCCTTGCCACCCAGCATCCCTGCAAAGAGACAGATGGTGGCAGAGAACCCAGCACGGGGAAGGGGGGCGCAGGGATAAGGCAGATGCTCACCAGCCATGTCCGTCTCCACCTTCTTAGCCTCGACCACCGCCGCTCGCATGGGGCCGTCAGGGAACAGCACCTCGTAGGAGCTGGGGATCTTCACGCTCAGCAGCTCAGCCATGGCCACCATCACCCCGTTGAGGTTCTGGGGGAAGGAGGGATGCGGTGGGTCTGGGTGTCGCGGCCTGGGGACCCCCCGTCCCGTCCCTTTGCTCACCTTGGCAGCTGCTGCAGACACCGTCAGCATAACGGACACCTCGCTGCTCTTGCCCTTCTCCCACGGGGCTCCCTGGCCGGCCATCCCCACCTTCCCTGGGGGTGCTGCCCCAAAGGGCTCCGCGGCTTCAAAGGGCTTCGTGTCGGGGAACACTAGGACGGAGAGAAGGGGTCAGAGTCACCCAGACCCCCGCTGCCCCCACCCCCCCTCGATGCCCTGGGCTCCCCCTGGCGCACTGCTGCAGCAGGTCCTAGGAGACCCTTCTGCCTCACTTTGTCCCTCCTGGTCTGCAGAGCCCACAAGTCTGCTTCACAGTGCCTCCGCTCCCCAGAAACGCTACTGGGAGGGGGACCTGTGGGCCTGCTCTGCCCCCCTGCTCCATACACACCACAGATCCCTTCCACACACCCCAATCCCCAAGAAACACCGCCAGCAGTGGATCCTGCACCACTCCTGCAGGTGCCTAAACCCCATAAATCCCTTCTAGGTGCTCCAATTCCCCCTCCTGCCCGGTCCATGCCCACCTGGGATGCTGGCGCGGGGGATGATGGGGATGATGGGGGACAGCACGCGCTCCTCCAGCTCCGGTTTGGCCTCACTGAGCAGGGGGAAGCGCAGCAGCTCCTCGCCCAGCACGCTCTCAGGGGACGAGGCAGGGACGATGCTGTCGGGGGAATCGCTGTCATCGTCGCTCTCCATCCTACGGGGACACAGACGTCACAGCCGTGCCAACACCCCCCGCAGCAGGGCCTGATGGCACCCACGGGGACGGCTCACCTGACGTCCTCAGTCTGGTTGTGCGGAGGGGTGGGCAGAGCTGCCAGCAGGTCCACGCTCTTCACTTCCACAGCCGGCGTGTCTGCATAGGGACGGGACGAAGGGGATGAAGGGGCCGGGGGGCAGGCGGTGTTAGGGGGCTGCGGCGCCCTGCGCCATCCACGCTCACCTTTCTGGGGCTCACGGGCCGAGTCGGCGTCCTTGGGCTGCTCACCCATCTCCTCGGCAGCCGTGACACCGTTCACCATCTTCTGCTGCACGGAGGGGGGCGGCGTGGGGGGCAGCGAGGAGGGCGGCGTGGGCGGGTTGCTGAGGTTGTTCTGGGGGGAGAGAGGGGAGCGCGAGAGGATCGACGTGAGCCAGGGCTGCCCCGGGTCGCAGCGGAGGTGCAGGACAGCCCCCCTCACCTTGGTGAGCAGCTGGGAGTAGTAGTCGGGCACACTGTCCAGCACGGCGCTGCCGAAGGCGCCACGCAGCTGGCTCTTGCCGTTGATGGGGCTGCTGCCGAAGGGCGCGAAGAGGCTGAAGTTGGCCGTGATGGTCGGCTCAGTCAGAGGCAGCAGAGAGAGCTCCTGGGGCAGGGAGGGGACGCGGGTTGGGAACGGTCCCGTGCCAGGGACGCGGCGCCCCCCAGCCCGCCGCCCCGTACCTGCTTCAGCTTCATGAGCGCCTCCCCGGGGCGCAGCCCCTCGTCCTTGCGCAGCTTCTTGCGGGAGGCCGGCACTCTCTCGTTGCCCTTCTGCACCCGCTTGGGTTTGGCGGCCACCGGCTTGCGGGCGATGGAAGGGTCCTGGAGGACAAAGAAGAAAAGCCATGCGGAGCCCGGCTCCAGGACCGCCCCGGCCCCCCTCCCGCAGCGCCCCGCTCACCTCCCGGCCCAGCGGCGCCGGTTGTGGCCGCGGCTCCATCCCAGCACCCCGGTTCTCTGCATGCCCGTTCAGCTCTCCTGGGCACTGCGCTGACAGCTGCACGTTCTTGGCCCGCAGCAGCTTCTGCAGCAGGAGGTGCCCGGCCTCGGAGCGGCCACCCGGCACCAGCGGGCCGCTGCCTTGGGCAGCCCCAGGCTCCCCGTTGGCCTCCGGTTTGGCCGCTTCATCCCCATCCGTCTCGCATTGCACCACCGCTGCCGCCTCCTCCTTCGGCTCCTGCTTCACCAGCACCCGGGGGGGCTCGGCCCCATTGACGCGGGTCTCACCGGGGTCGGCTGGGTCTGCAGCGGGCACCTCGGGGTCCCAGCGTGTCGCATCGGGTGCCAGCCCCTGCTCTGCGGGGCTGGGGGCTGAGGCCGGGACCCCCGGTGACATCTTCTTTGGCTCTTGGGGACTCTGCTCGGGGCTGGCCAGCTGCAGGGGGGCGCAGCCCACAGCCAGGGATGAGGGCGCCGGGGGCGTGGGGAGCTGGACGAGGCCGGGCTGGGGACCACGGGCAGCCAGGGCTGCTTGCACCAGCTCAGCCAGGGGCTGCTGCGGTGCGGGGGGCTGCCCTCGTGCCCCCTGCTCCTCCGCCGGGACCCCCGCCCGGGCCTGGAAGAGGGGTCCCAGCGGGCGGGGGGGCTGACGCGCCTGGGAGCCGTGCTCTGGGGGCTGCCCAGCAAAGGGGCCGGGCTGACGGAGCGCCTGGCTCTGCTGCAGGAGGCTCTGCTGGTGCCGCTGCACCAAGAGAGCCTGGAGCTGCTGCTGCTGTTGCGGCGTCAGGTGCCGCAGCTGGGGGTTCTTGGCCAGGACCCCCTGGAGCTGCGCCCGGATCTGCCCCATCAGCGGCCCCGGGACCTGACCCAACAGACCTGGGGGCAGCGCGGTGGCTCCGCTCGGCTGCGCTACCGGCCCCGCTTTGGGGCTCTGGAGCCGCGGGGGCTGTGGTTGGCCCTGCTGGGTGCCCACCCCCCCCTTACCCGGCTCTGCAGCCCCCGCCGGGTCCCCGTGTGCCTCAGGACGAGGGGCCCCTGGGCTCTGCGGGGGGACGAGCAGGGCACCGGGGGCGGCAGCTGCCCGCAACCCCGGCTGGGTGGGCACGGAGCCCAGGACCCCCGGCTGAGGGGAGCCCAGGAGGAGCTGCTGCCCTTGCCCCAGCTCGGCCTGGTGTTTGGGAGCTTGGGGCTCGCCCAGCCCTGCGGCGCTGGGGGGGCCCTGCTGCTCCCCTCCGTGCAGCTGCCCCCCCGCTCTCGCTGCCCTCGGCGGGCAGAGTGCCGCCCTCCCCTCCTCCGGGCTGCTCCTTGGCAGCCAGGACCGCCGGGGCCGACTGCATTCCCTGACTCAGGTGCAGCACAGAGGGGGCCTGGCCCATCGCCCCGTGCTGCGGAAAGTGCTGGATCGGGGGCTGCCCCTGGCCCAGCCCCAGGAGGCCCTGCTGGGCTGCTGCCCCCGAGTTCTGCTGCTGTGGGGCCAGCAGCGCCCGCGCCTGCCCCAGCTGCTGGGACAGCACCAGCCGGTGGCCCAGCATCCCCGGAGTCTGCGGCGAGCCCAGCACCCGCTGCTGGTGGGGGGCCAGCAGGACCTGCCGCTGGGGTGCGGGGTGACCCAGCACCGCCTGGTGCTGCAGCCCTGGCCCATGGCCCAGCAAGCCTGGCTGCTGCTGCTGCTGCTGCTGCGGGGAAAGCTGCTGCACCAACAGGCCCTGCTGGCTGCCCATCAGCCCCGGCTGCTTGGGCACCATGGGCTGCCCCACGGCCCCTGGTTGCGGGGTGGCTGCCGGCTGCTGCTGCTGCCCCAGCAAGCTGGGCTGCCCTACCATGGCTGCTGGTTGCATGGAGCCTTGTCCCATGAGGCCCGGCTGCTGCATTGAGCTCTGCGCCATGACACCCTGCTGCTGCTGCTGCACGGAGCCTTGTCCCATCACCCCTGCCTGCTGCATCGAGGCCTGCGCCATAACGCCGGGCTGCTGCATCGACGTCTGGGCCAGGAGCCCTTGCTGCTGCATGGAAGCTTGTCCCATAACACCAGGCTGCTGCATCGGCGGCTGTGCCATCATGCCAGGCTGCTGCATGGAGCTCTGTGCCATCACGCCCTGCTGCTGCATCGAGCTCTGTGCCAAAACGCCGGGCTGCTGCATTGCTGCTTGTCCCATGACACCTTGCTGCTGCATGGATGCTTGTCCCATGACCCCGGGCTGCTGCATCGTCTGTGCCATGATGCCTTGCTGCTGCTGCTGCATGGATGCCTGTGCCATCATGCCCTGCTGCTGCATCGACGCCTGTGCCATGACGCCCTGCTGCTGCATTGAAGCCTGGCCCATCACCCCCGCTTGCTGCATCGACACCTGCCCCATGACGCCTTGCTGCTGCTGCTGCAGCGACACCTGCCCCAGCATGCTCTGCTGCTGCTGCTGCAGCTTCTGGGCCAGCTGCATCCTCTGCAGCTGCCTCTCCTGCATCAGACGGCCGTCTGCGGTCAGCCCACGGAGCGCGGGGTTCCCAGAGAAGAAAGCATTGGAGGCGCCGGGCACCGGAGCGTTCCCCACTGCCTGCTGGCCCATGAAGGACAGCCCCTGCTGCACGGCCATGGACACGCCGCCCTGGGGCAGCCGCAGCCCCCCGGGCTGCCCCTGCTGCTGGCCGAGCCCCTGGGCCCCCACCACAGCCCCCGCAGGCTGCTGGATGCCGTGCGCCGAGAGGAGCTGCCCGGGGAGCTTGGACACGAGGCGGGGGCTCTGCGAGGGGCTGAGGGCCATGACGGCCGAGGCTTGGTGCTGGTGCTGCTGCTGCTTGTTGCGGTACTCGGCCATCAGGTTGGTGTGCTCCTTCTGCTGCTTCCGCACCTGCGGGGGGGGCCGGCAGCGCGGCGTGAGCGGCGCGGCATCGCAAGGGAGTCGAGCCCACCCTCAGAGCCCCCCTACCTGGTCCAGCTGCTTCTGGATCTTGCTCTGCTGCTCCGTCACCAGCTTCAGTTTCTCCGCATCGGCCTCGGGGAACTCCCGGCCGGCCTTCTTGGCCGTGCGCTGCTTGGCGCAGAGCGCTTTGCGAGACTTGCGGTGCGCGCCGATCTGCTCCTCCAGCACCTTCAGCTGCATCTGCAGGAGCTGCTGGGTGTGGAAGAGCCACTCCTCGTACTGCCGCTGGTCGGCCTCGTCTGCGGGGGGCACAAGGGGGCTCAGCTCAGCAGGGTCCCAGCTCTGAGCCCAGCTCAGCTCAGCCCACAGGGGAGGATGAGGCCCTGACCCCCAGCCCCCCTCAGTACTCACTGATGACGCCTTGAGCAAAGGTGGGAGGGTTGGGGCGAGGCTGGGCCGGGTCAGCGCCGCTCCGTTCCTGGAACAGAGAAGGACGTGAGCGCTGCGCCCCCTCCTCCGCGCCCCATTCCCTGCCACAGCCCCCATATACAAATACAATACAAAGCTGGCGGCCTACGCAGCTCCGAGCCAGCAGGGACTCCGGCACTGAGCCCCGCTGCATCCCACTCACCTGCCCGCTCCCCGCCAGCATGTGGTTCTGCATCTCTGAGGCAGCCGGGCCTCCCGAGAGCCGCTGGGCCAGCAGGGAGACCTGTTGCCTTTGGGGAGACAGAGAGAAAGGAGGAGACGCAGAGATGAGACAAGGAGATAAAGGAGGAGATGCAGCCCACGCGTCCCACCCTGCACCCCGCTGCGCCCCTTACCTGTTCATCCCCGGGGCCACCCCAATGCTGCCCTGCGCCATCACCTTCTTGATGCCCTTCAGTGCCACCATCTTGGCTTTGGCGATGGGGTCCATGATGTCCTCGGCAGCAAACTTGTCCAGGTCTGCGAGAAGAGACGGGCTGGAATTAATCCCTGTCTGCAGTCACCCAGGGACGACTCTGCGAGCCCCCAGGCCGGGCCGCAGCCCCACATCTCCGACCCACAAGGGCCTCTGAGAGGCAACCCAACCACCCCAACCGAGGACCGAGGCAACACCTACCCGTGTCTGGGAAGAAGCTGTTGGCCAGCTGCTGCTGCATGACAAGCTGGGGGGGCTTCAGGCCCAGGGCGGGCGGCTGCACCCCGGCCATCGGCTTCTGCACCAGCACCTGCTGCTGGCTCTGCTGCGGCTGTGCCAAGGCCACCTGCACGCCGTGGGGGGCAGCCAGGACGTGGGGCTGCCCGGACGCCATGCCCATGTGGGGTCCCAGCGCCGGGCCCTGCTGGGGGTTCCCGAGGCGCGGGGGCTGCGGCGGCATCAGCTGCGGTCTGGCCACCAGCCCCAGCTGCAGGGGGGGCTGCGGGGTGCCCAGGCGGGGGGGCTGCGCCTCCAGGGGCTGCGCGGCCGCGTGCAGCATGGGGTGCCCCGGGGCGGGGAGCTGCGCGGCGCCGCGCGGCAGCTGGGCAGACATCTGCTGCTTCTTCTGCAGCTCCTTCTTCTCGTGCTCCAGGAGGTCCTCGATGAGCAGGGGCAGCTCGCTGGCCACCAGGGAACTCTCCATCTTGTCCAGCTCGTCGGCAGGCGAGTGCCGGGTGCTGCCCAGCCCCAGAGCCCCGCTGTCCAGCTCGAATTTCTCCAACAAGGGGTTGCTCTGGCTGCCCAGCTGGGCAGGGGCCAGCCCACGCCCCGTGCCGCCATACGGGTCCTTGTCCAGCGTGGAGCCGCTGCTTGGGAAGTGAGTCAAGCCGAGGCGAGCGGGGCCAGCACCGGGGCTCAGAAGGGCCTGGCTGGGTTTGAGGCTCAGCCCCAGCGACGCAGAGATCTTATCCGTGCCCTGCAGGGCCTCTGACTTGACAGGGAGCCGCTCGGAGCTGCCGGCGGTGAATTGACAAGGCGAGGTCTTCAGACACCCATCCTCCAGTTTGGGTTTGACGTCGGAGGGCGGCGCGGCCGCCTTCGCCTCCAGACTTTGTGCCTTGAAGGATGGGTCTGGGGGCAGCGCGGCGCCGGGCGCCAGCCCCTCTTTGGGCACATCGCAGTCCTCCGCCGTCGGCGCTGCTTCTTTGCCATCCCCGGGGTCGGGGAGCTTCAAGCTGGGTCCCGCCGGCTCCGTCTTGAGCTGCGCCTCGCGCTCAGCCTTTTCGTTGGCCGACTCGACCAGGCGCAGGTGCTCGTTGAAGATGTCCTTCTTGTCGCCGGTGTCCAGCTCGGGGTCGGTGTAAGCCAGCAGGTCGAACTCGTCGCCGTTCAGCAGGTCGTCCAGGTGGGGATCCGCCGTCTCCAGGCTGTCCAGGTTGCCCAAATCGTCGTCCCCTTTGGCCACGTCCGGATCCAGGCTCAGGTTTGCCAAATCGTCGTCGTCTTCCAAGTCCTTGTGGGAGCCAAAGTCGTCGTCCAAGTCGGGCTCCACCGGCACCTCGCAGGGCAGCCGCCCGCCCTCCAGGTTCAGGTGGCTTTTCCCCGGGGCCGGAGCCGCGCCGTCCTTGGTGCCATCGGGGCGCAGAGCAGAGCCAGAAGACAGCGGGCGCGGGGGGACGTGCTGCAGATCCAGGCCAGGGGTGGGCAGCGGGGCGGGGGGCGCCGCTTTGGCGTGCAGCTGGTGGTGGCTGTTGCTCATCTCGGCGCCCTGCGGCGACGCGGGAGGCAGCGGAACCACCGGCATCTTCTGGGGCTGCAGCGCCGGGGCAGGGAGCGCCTGCATGGGCACCACCGGGGCGCAGAGGGGCTGCGGGGCGCCCTCATCACCGGGCAGGAAAAAACGAGGCCGGGGGGGCTGGGGGGTGAAGGGGGAGCCCACGATGCCGGCGGGTCCCTTCTGCACGTTGTGTCGCAGCTCGATGAAGGGAGCACCCAGGGTGCCGGGGGACGCGGGCACCGGCTCGGCGGGTGCTGGTAGGCGGGCGCCCAGGCTGCCCACGGGGGTGCTGGCGGCCGGGGGAGCGAAGCGGGAGGCGACGGGAAGACGCAGGGCTGCCTGCTGCTGCTGCTGCCAGAGGTGCTGCTGCGGGGACAGCGCTGGGAAGACTCCACGGGGGTAGAAGGCCTGCGGGGGCCCAACTGCCGCCCTGCAAGACGGCGCGGTGTTGGGGTGCTGCCACGGCCCCAAACCCATCGCACACACGGCACACGGCATCGTGACCCCGTGGCGCTGCGTGGCCCCAAACCCACCGTGCGTGGGATGCCCCATAGTTGTCTCGACCCCAGCAGCGCTGTTGTGGCCACAAACCCACCGCTCACAGACACCCCGTGACATCCTGACCCCCCTCGAGGACCCCACAAAGCCACCACAACCCCATCTCCCCACATCAAATCCTACAAACCCCGCAGGCGCGCACCTCTCTGCCCCCCCCCCATCTCCACCCAGGGGAGCCCCCAGCCCCGCTGCCTGCCCACATCCACAGCTCTCACCTCCCATTGATGTCCATCGCAGCCGGCGTGGCAGCTGGCGGGGGCCGGGAGAGCCTCTCATCCTGCACAAACGTGGCTGTCTGCACCATAACGGAGCCAGGCAGCTTCCCACTGCTGGCTGCAGTGGCCAACGTCCCCAGGAGACTCTTATCCTAGGAGAGAAGGCCGCGGCATCACCCCTCACATCCATCCCCAACCTCCGTGCCGCGTCGCCGTGCCTCCACCCTACCTGCGGTGGTTGGTAGGTGGTCATGGTGCGGCTCAGCTCGTAGGGCTGGCTGCTGGAATCAGGAGCCCAGCCTGATGGGGACGGCGTGGCGGCTGCTGCTGCGCTCTCCTTCTCCTGCCGCAGGCTGTTGCGCTGGATCTGCTGACGGATGAGCAGCTCGCGAAGGCGCTGGCGCTGGGAGGATGCAAAGATTGGGGGTGAGGAAGGGCGCAAAGCGAGACCCATCCGTCCCAAACCACGCACAAAGCACGAGCAGACCCTCAGCTGTACCACCCCACCGCCCCCCCCCGCTGCCCTCGCCCCTGCGAGGCTTTGGGGATCCATCACCCACTACAGAGACCCACATTGCTCCCTCCCAACCCATCCCAAACCCAAAGGGATGCAATGCAACCATCGGTGAGCCCTCACCTGCCTCTGCTTCTCCAGCTCCGACTGACTCATGGTGCCCACGGCCCCGTCCTGCCCACCAGGCAGCTCGGCCAGGTCACGGTTTGGGGGTGCCGAGAGCCCCGCAGCCGCCTCCTCCCTCTTATCAGCCCCCACTGCAGCTCGGGGCAGGAAGGAGATGCTGGCATCCGGCTGCTGGGGGGCAGCGGGGGGCTGCTGGGGCAGCACAGACGGCGGCCGGAGGGGTGAGAGGCTGTAAGAGGGGTCAGAAGCCCCAGTGCCCAGCGGGCTGCTGGCTTGGTGGAAAGCAGGGGACGAGGTGTAGGCTGAGCTCTGGGGTTTACCGGGGACAAAATGGCTGTTGATCCCATGGGGTTGGTGGGACGGGGAGCCCTTGAGAGGCTCGGAGACGGACGGGGGAAAGGTGAAGCGCATGGGGGGTTGGCTGCCTGGGAAGACGCTGGCACCGGGGGAGCGGGTGAAGGGGGGCTGCTGCCCACCCGGTGCCTTGGCGTGGGGCTCACCTGCCAGGGTGCCCCCAAAGCCCCCCGTGGCCGCCGGGCTGTGGGACAGCGGTCCTGGCTTGAAGCCTGGCTCCGGCATCTGGGGCCGAGGGGGTTTGTGCAAAGGGGTGAAAGGATCCCGGGACTGAGGCCGGGAGGGGGGCTGGGAATAGGGATCCGGGGACTGGAAACGGGGAGTGACGGGAGACTGGCAGAAAGCTTCATTGGAGAGGGGCCGGGGGGTGAGCGGGGACTGGGAGCTGGACTGGGACTGGGGGCTGGCGGGGACACGGGAAAAGGGCTCCGAGGGCAGCGAGCGGGGCGGCAGGGAGCAGCAGGCATCAGCAGGGGGCTGCGGCCGGGGTGTCAGCGGGGGCTGCGCGTAGGGGTCTGGGTACGGGGACTGGCGGTAGAGATCGGGGTGACCGGGGGGCGAGGGGGCCAAGGGGTGGGGGTCGGGGGGCCGGTGCCCCAGCCCTGGGCTCTGAGGCTCAACCTGAGAGACCCGAGGGGTCATGGGGGCTTTGAAGACATCGGCGGCCTTCAGCTCCGCAGCGGAGAGATGAGGGCCACCCGGGGAGTCCCCGTAGCCCATGGTGGGCGTATAGCTGGGCGAGCAGACCCCCAGGCTCCCCCCTTCCTCTTTCTTCACCTCCAGGCCCTTCTTCTGCTCCCCAAAAGGAAGGGGAGAGAGCAAAGCTTCGGAAGGACGGGCGCCGGGGCTCCCCGGCACCGAGAGGTTGTCCAAAGAGGGGCACCGGGGCTTCAGGAAGGGGTCGGGGGTCCCAGGTTGGTGCCGGGGGGTGCCAGGAGGAGTGGGGTGGAAATCAGAGGACTGGGAGCCAGGGACGGAGCGGGGAGCGGCCAGGGGTTGGCTGGGGAAGGGCTGGAAGGCGGCGCCTGAAGTGGGGCTCTGTCCCAAGGGGGAGGAAAAGCGGGCTTCCAGCGCGTAGGAGGGCGCAGCACCGTAGGGGTCGTGCGAAGGCACTTGGGCAGGGGACTGGGGCGGGAGCTTGAGGAAGAGCTCGCTGGGAGACTCCGGCCCCCCTCCTCCAGCACCCGGCTTCAGGAAGCCCTCGCCCGCAGCAGGGGGGCTGCTGATGTAGACGGGCTGCGTCCCTGGAGGCACCGGGATCCGCAGATGCAGCGAGGGTCGCTCCGGTTTGCGCAGTCCCTCCCCTTTGGTCTGCTTGTTTATCTGGCTCTCGGCCTGCTGCAGAGAGAGCCCGGCCATCAGGGCAGTGCGCCCACCCCCCCTGCGGGGCCGGGGAAGGGGCTGACGGGGTAAGAGGGGCTGCACCAGGTCCCCCAGGGCTGGGACAGGGCCGCCGGGCACCTCGGGCCGCAGCACGTACCTTCTGCACCTTGTTGATGCGATGAGCCGCCCGGTTATCTTTGGCCTTTTGCTAACAAAAACACGAAGGCAGCTGACACGCGGCCCCGGCAGCCCCTGCGCCCCCCACCCCCGTTGCACCCCGACCACTCACCAAATAGGGAGCTTTGTCTGCAGCGGGGACTTTCCTCCAGAGCTTCATGATCTGCTTGCAGCGGCTCGACCAGTCTGGGAGTCCGGTAGCAACAGAGGGCACAGGAAGAGGAAAAAGTCAGCATTAACCCGTGCCCCGTGAGCCCCCCACCCAGGACACCTTAGGACCCCCCTCGCCTTCCGGACCAACACCAAGGAGTTGGCACTGAGTTCCCCAGCACCGCTGCAAGAAGGTCTTCAGCCCCGCAGCTGTACAGCAGGGGGGTTTGTTCCTACAAACAGGGACCACGCCGCAGCAGATGGGTTTGCTCCTCCACACGGGGCCCACGGTGACACATCGCATCACGACCCATCCCACCCCGCACCCCCTCCAGAGCCCTACCTGGATAATCCTGCTTCAGGTTGGGGAAGTTCATGTTGGCGTAGAGCACTGGCGAGATGGTGGAGAGCTCACCCAGTTCCTCGTCCTTCTCCCAGCGCTGCAGGCTGCGCTGGTTGTACGACAGCCCATCGCCCTCTCCCTCTGTTGTGGGGGTCGTGGGGGTCGAGGGGGTGGTGGCAGCAGAGCTGCTGGCCCAGGGGCTCTCGGGCTCACAGTGGTCGGGGCTGAAGAAGCCGCTCCGCTCCCTGCGTGGGGAGCAAAGAGTCGTGGAGAAGGGAAACCCCAATACTGCGTGTCTGCCCCCACGGTGAGGGGCTGCCACCTCCCAGGGCACCCACGTACCGGTTATCGAGGAACGGGGACTGGCAGACTCCCGAATAGGAATCCAAGGAGACGGAGCCAGAGAGCGAGCCCAGAGAAACGCTCCCTGCCAGCGAAGGAACGGCGCTGTTAGACCTGCTGTAAGGCTGCGCCCACACCAGGAACCTTCACACAATCCAAAATCCCAACCACGCGCCCCAAAAATGCTTTCCGCCATCCAAAGTCCCCTCCACAAACCCCCAAAACCCCTTCTGGAACAGAAAATCCCACCCATCTGCCTTCGCAAACCCTTTCCAATTCAGTTCCTAGAGGAACGAGGAAAACCCAGGATCTCAGGACACAGAGCATCCGCTCCCTGAGCGCAAATGGGGGGGAGGGAGTCCTGCCCCCCTCCCGCACCCTGTGTGCACCCACCCTGCCCTGGCAGCTGGAGCTCTCCCTGCAGGAAGGGGCGCTGGGCCCGGCCGGGGTCCTGCCCTGCACCGCTGCCCTCCACGCAGTTGAGGGGCTGCTCCCCACGCTCAGCAGAGCCCAGCACGTCCTTGAAGAGCTGCTGCACGTCTTTGCTCTCCATCTTGGGCAGCTCTGTGAAGGGAAAAGAAAGAGATGAGCCCCAGAACTCACGCCGAGGGGAGCTGAAAGGAGCCACAGGGATGGCGCTAGGGGGCATCTCGCTCCTCTTCTCCCCGCCTAGTGGGGAGGTGGGGATGGGGAAGGCGGTGGTGGGCCCTCACCCTCCGTGGGGATCTTGTCAAGGTCGGAGCTCAGCGCGCCCTCCCCGGGGGTGGCCGGCTTCTCAGCGTCCCCACGGTTTGGGGAGTCCTTGGGGTCATCGGTCCCTGCAAGGAGGGGTTGGAGTGATGCCCTCAGACCCCCATGCTGGGACACCCCCCACCCCAGGCTCGGTCCCGCTGCCACTCCCTGCAGCCCCTAAAACCAACTCTCAGACCCCCAGGGCAGGCAGGGCACCACACCGCCCGGGGGCGCTCTAGACAACACTCTATGATCATCGGAGCTTCGAGTCACCCTGCGAGACCATAGAGTTCAGCCTGGAAGTCCCATCCAGCCTAGACTGTACTCTGTACCATAGAGCAGCCCCATCTCTATGGTGGGAAATGCTCCAGCCCTCCTCCCGAAGGCCGCAGGAGGACTTGGCCTTGAGTCTGGTTTGCTCCCAGCTGGACTCACTCAAACTTGGGGGCCTGGGAGGATGTGGGGGGGGGAGGGGGGGGTCCCAGGGCTCACCCAGGTCTTCGCCCTTCGTGACATCCTTGCCGTCATCGTCCAGAGCCGTGGCACTGCCGTCTGTGCTGTCATCCCCTTCCAAGCACAGAGCTTCAGTGAGGCTGGGCACCTCTCCAGGGGGCCACAACCCCCCCATCTCCTCCCAAATGCCCCCCAGCACCACTGGATATCCATTCCCCCCTCCCCCCCAGCCCTATGACTTTATCAGCCCCTCTGAGCTGGGACTCACATTTCCCGATCTGGACTCACCTCGGGGATGAGTGGGGGTCTCCCTCCTTTCCAGAGGGGTCCCCTGCAGAGCCCCTGCCACGCTGGGGTCCCCTTTGTGCCGTGGGGCACCCTGAGCCAGGGAGGGGCGGGCAGCTCCGTCCCCAACACCGCCCGCTGCCAGCAGCGCCTTCCGGCTCAGGTCCATCAGTGCCTTCCCAAAAAAAGCCTCCTGCAAGGTGGGAGCCCCCATCAGTACCCCAGCACCCCCAACATGCAGCCCTGTGCCATCCCATCACCTCCACCCTGGCCGGGACGGTTCTCCCCCATCTTTCCTATCCCCATTTGTTCCCACCCAACCCCATTTCCATCTTCCCATCCCACCTGCAGGTACGGAGGGAACATGTCTTCCAGTTTGCTCTTTTTCCGCGCACGGCGTTTCTTCTTCTCGTCCCCCTCAGCCGAGCCTGGATCCAGGCCACCCTCTGCAGGGAGATCCCCCGGAGCTCCTACAAACAGCATTACCAACCCTGTTACCACCTCTTCTCAAGGCTGCAGGAAGAGCTCGGGGATGGCGCTCTCACAGCACTCCAGAATGCACCCTCCAGTCTCTCTCCATCCCTGGGGATGGGGGGGACACCATAAAGGGGGTGGGGGACAGGCTCTGTGGGTCCCTACCATCCTCTGGGTGCCCCTCTGCGCTCAGCCCCTCACGTCCCACTTCAGTCAGCACCGCTGGGACCTTCTTCAGGCGGGTGTGGGACTTGCGCTGCCGCACCATGAAGCCACCGATGCCTGGGGACAGAGGAGCACGCCGAGGTCACAGCGGGTCCAGGGAGGCGTGGGGCCGCGGGCAGCCATGGGCAGCACTCACCAGGTCGGTAAGGTTTGCGCTTCCTCTTCTTGCACTCATCCGGGTCCTCCAGCCCCTTCCCCGAGTCCACGTCAGCCCCCACGTCGCGGTCGGGGCTGGCTGGAGCCTCCAGCTTGATCTCACACTCCATGTGCTCCACTCCCACTGTCAAATGGGGAAAGGGCATCAGCCGGGTTCTCACAGCGCCCCTTCCCCCAGCTCACCCACTGGGGAAGGCGCACCTTCAGCCTTGAGCAGCTCGTCGGCATCCAGGTCGCCGTCCTTCTTCTCATCGGGACCCAGGGGGTCTCCCCCCTCCAGCCCCCCATCCCCATTCAGGGCACCCAGACGAGGGGCTTTGCGCTGCCGCCGCTTGTGCAGGGGGGACATGGTGAGGTTGCGCAGCACCGCCATGCCCGTCTCCGTCAGCCAGACGCCCTCGAAACGGAAATACTGGGGCTCTGCGGGGACAAAAGCTGGCGTTGGTGGGGACAAGAGACAGCGGGGGGCGCAGCCAGGTCCCCGCGGGGCTGACGGCACCCAGCGCAGCACCACACACACGTACCCGGCTCCTTGGCCTTGGCCAACATGTCCGGCGTGGGCACAGGCGCTGCGGGGGGTGAAGCAGACACAGGTGAGTCCTCGGCGCCCCCCAGCCCCCAGCCCCACGGGTTCCCCCCCCGCCCCAGGCGCTCACCTGCCGGTTTGATGACGTAGGGCTGGCAGGCGCTGCAGTCAAAGCCTTCATCCGCTGCCTGCTCCACCTCCTCCTCGGTGAAGAGGCTGTCGCACGCCGCGTGCAGCCACCTGCGGGCAGCAGGGAACCATCACGCACCCCAGCCACCCCACGGAGCAGCCGTCCCCACCGGGGCGCTTTGGAGCAGAAAACCTCTGGGCCGAGACCCCGCAACGCTCCCTCAGCAGGGCACCCCTGCGCAGCTCCAAAGCAACCAACCCAAGCACCGACCGCGACGAACGGGGCTGAAAGCCGCCCCCGACCTCCCCCAGCCCCACGTGCCGCAGGGCTCACCGATCGCAGTGGCGGCACTGGATGAGCAGGTCGTCCTCCACGTACTTCTCGCGGCAGAAGGGGCAGACGACCAGGCTGGCGCAGGGCGCGCAGTGCGTGTAGTTGTTCTGCCACTCGCAGTGGAAGCCAGGGGAAGCTGCCCCGCACTGCACGCAGCACACGCACCTGGGGAAAGGGCAGGGCGTTCAGCACCGGCCCCGCGACCCCCCCGCGCTCCCCCCGGGGATCCCTCGAGCACCATTTGCACTTCCATCCTCCTTTGGGCACGGTCTGCAGCGGCGGGTCCAGGCAGTAGGTGTGGTAGCTGATGTCGCAGTCGTCGCAGAGCAGCAGCCGGGACGGGTCGGAGGCTTTGCCGCACACCTCGCAGACGATGCACTCCACGCAGCGCCAACCCTTCAGCAGCATCACCTTGGTGATCTGAGGACAGCAGGGTGAGCAGAGGGCAGAGCCGGCGCGGCACGGCCCCAGCCCCAGAGGACAGTCTGGGCACAGCACCGACCCCCCGGCTGCCCCCGAGGCCGACCCCAGCCCCGCTCACCTTGCTGTTGACGCAGTAGGGGTGGTAGCACTGGGAGCACTGCGAACACGCCAGCAGGTGACCCTCGGCGCCGCGCCCGAAGCTGCCGCACACCACGCACATGTCCTGCAGCACGGAGGCGTGAGGGGAGCGGAGGGGGGATGCGGCCCTGCCCCCGCTGCTGCCCCCCCTGCTGCCCCCCGCCGCTCCGCTCACCTGCATGAGCACAAACTTGTCGGTGTTGGAGAAGAGGACGACCGTGTTCTGCATCGTGTCGTCGTCATCTTCATCCTCCTCCTTGCTGGGCGAGCTCTCCACGTCAGCGAGCTGAGGGCAGACAGGGGGCTCAGGCCCAGGGACCCTCGCCTGCTTGCCACACAGTTTGGTGGGCAACAGCCACAGCGCAGGGCCCACAAGGACGGACGGACGGACGGACACACACACACACACACACACACACACACACACACACACACACACCAGCAGCCGCCCTCTCCCCAGAGGCCAGCTCAGCACCAGCCCTGTTATGGTAGGACGAAGCCCCCCACCCTACAGCATTGCCTCCAGGACCCCAGCCCACCCCACATCAGAACCCTGAGGGCTCCCTGAGTCATTCCAAGGGACTGGGACGGAGGGGATGGGGACGGAGGGGGACACGCTCGGCTCTCAACCCTGCTACCCAGCAGCTCGGGGACACCCCAACCCCCCACCCTTACCCCAGCCCAGCCTTACTGCTAAAGTGTCAACAGATGAGGTGGTCGACTTCAGGCGCGCACGGCCCCGGCCCCGGGTGCCATGGGACCCTCCTCGGGGGCGTCTCCGCCCAGGGAAGCTGCTGCTGCGACCCTAAGGCCAAGGGGAGAGGAAGGTTATAGCAAGCTGGGGGTGACCCAACCAGAACCCACCGCAGGCCTCAGCACAGCCCCCATCCCACCCCATCGCCCCGGCACTGCTGGGTGGGCTGGGGTCTCTCCCGTACCTGCTTGACACGGGAGCGCCCCGGGGAGCTGCGCCGCCGGCCCTTGTCTGCATCCCCTTTGGCTGCTGGCTCGAAGAGCAGCGAGTCGTCGGTCTCAGCGCCCATGGGCAGCGACCCGGCGTCCTCCTTCTGCAGGCTGGCATCGCCCGAGGCCGGCCCCAGCTCCAGGGACAGCGAGCCCCCACCTTCGGGGTCTGGCGAGCCCAGCAGAGGCTCTGAGCCAGGGAAGCTGCTGCTCGTGTCCCCCTGGCTCAGGTTGGAGATCTCGTTGAGGATATCGGGCCGAGGGCGCAGGGTAGGGGGCTCAGGACCCCCCTCGTCCCCACGTTCCAGCAGCTTCTCCCCAGCCGTGCACACTTCCATGGGAGTCTCGAGGCCCAGCTCCTCCGGCTCCAGGAGCAGAGGGGATCCCTTGGATTCAGGGTTCCCCCCCGCCCGCCCCTCCTCCAGCCCGTCCTCCTCACTCAGCGGTGGGGAGCTCCCGCTGGTGCCCTCCCGCTCCAGCCTCGGTGCTTCTTCTTCCTCCTCCTCTTCTTCCTCAGGCAGGCCCTGGAAGGGCCCCAGCTCTGGGGGTGGGCTGGCACGGCGGCCATCTCCAGGGGGGCTTCTCGCCGAGTCGCCCTCTCCGCCGCCCGTCTCCATCTCCTCATCCTCGGGGGGCTCGGCAGGGGCCGGGGTGCAGGCAGGGGAGCCCAGAGGGGGCGGCGGGGAGCCGGGGGGCTCCGTGTCCATGGTGGTGCCGGGGCTCCTGGGGGGCTCAGGCAGGGCGGGGGGCTCAGACACATCATCCTCTGTGGCGTGAGGCGAGGGGTCTGGAGGGCGGGCGGGCGAGACGGCGCAGAGATCTGGGGTTGGAGGTGGGACAGTGATGATGGAGCCCCCAGCAGAGAACCCCCCCAACCCCTGTGTGCCCCCAGACCCACCTGGAGGAGCGGGGGGCGGCAGCGCCATCTCGGGGGGCAGCAATGGCTCTGGCTCCAGCTCCATCTCCTCTTCGGGGGGCACCTCTGGGGCCAGCTCAGGGGCTTCCTCTGCCGCAGCCACCTCAGGGAGGAGACCTGCAGGATGCGGCGTGGGTCAGGGGGGCCACAGGAGGCCCTACACCACTGCGTTTGGACCTCCAGCCCCTCACGAGCCCCATAGCACGGCATCGAAGCATGAAAACAAGCAATGGACCAAGAATCCCAAGTGTGAAACCCTCTTATCCTCAGGGAACAGAGTGGGAAGAGCGATTCACTGGGGGTCCCCACTTACCTGGCGGTTTGGGGTCCTCCTCAGCAGGCTGCTTGCAGGGGAGCAGATCTTCAGGGTGCAGCTCTTCAGGGGGTGGCAGCTCGCTGCCGGGCGGCTCCTTGAGCAGCAGCTCATCAAGGGGTGCTTCATTAGCAGGCAGTTCATCAAGGTGCTGCTCGCTGGGGGGTGGCTCATCAGGGGGCTGCTCAGCGAGGGGCAACTCATCCAGCAGTGGCTTTTCGGAGGGCAGCTCCTCGGGGGGCCGCTCATCAAGTAACTCCTTTTCAGACGGCAGCTCAACGGGGGGCTGCTCATCCAGAGGGGGCTTTCCAGGGGGCTGCTCTTCGAGGGGCTTCTCGTCCAGCGGTGGTTTTTCAGGGGGCATCTCATCAACGGGGGGCTCGTCGGGGGGCCGCTCGTCCAGGGGCAGCTCGTCAAGAGTAAGCTCAGCGATGGGGGGCTGGCTGGGGGGAGGCTTCTCGAGGGGCAGCTCGTCGAGGTGCGGCTCGTCAGGGGGCAATTCCTGCAGGGGCACCTCGCCCAGGGGGGATTTGCCGAGGGGAGGCGGATCAGGGGGCAGCTCATCCAGAGACGCTCCGTCAAAGGGCGCCTCGCTGGGGGGCAGCTCGTCCAGGGCAGCGCCCTGGGGCAGCAGTTCATCAGGAGGGGGGTCGCCGCGGTGCAGCACGTGGGGCGGCGGCTCATCGGGGGGCTGCGCGTTGGTGGGCAGCTCGTCGGGGAGCAACTTGTCAAGGGGCGCCTCGCTGCGGGGAGATTCCTCACGGCCCGGGGGCGTCTCCTTGGGGTCCCCGCCACGCTGCAGCTCCTCGCTGTGCCCCTCGGGCTCCAGGGCAGGGACAGGCATCTCGGCCGGTTCGCCGCGCTCAGGGGACGTCAACCTGGATGGGGAGGAAACACGGCGAGGGGGGGTGAGGACCGCAGCCCCCAGCCCGTTCTCCAAGGCTGCGGGAATCCCACAAAGGGGGCACAACCAGGACCCCGCCGTCCTCTCATCCCAACTCACGCCTGGGCCGGGGGCTCCAGCTGTGGGGCTCCATCCTGCGCCCCCTCGGCTTCCTTGGCCGCACGCCGCTGCTGGCAGCCCTCACACACCGAGAAGCTCTGGTGCCACTGGCAGCCCGGGTCGAGCTCCGCCGGCCGCCGGCCGCAATCCGAGCAGAGCCGGCAGTTCTGGGGGACACGGGGCACGTCAGGATGGGGGCGCGGGCAGCCCTGCGCTCCCCCACAAAGCGGGGACAGGGCGGCAGGGCGCACCTTGCACTTCCAGGAGTCGGCAGGGACGCCCTCGATGGCCGGCTCCATGCAGAAGGTGTGGTAGCCCTTATCGCACGCCTCGCACACCAGCATCATGGAGTCCTCGCCCGGCTGCCTGCGGGGCACAGCGGGACGTCAGGGCCGCCCTCCCACCCGGCTCCCATCCCCGCGGCGGGGGATCCTCACCTGCAGGTCTGGCACACTTTGCACTCCGGGCATTGCCAGCCCGCGCGCTTGCGGGGCGTCAGGGCGACGTCCAGGCAGGAGCCGTGGTAGTGCTGCCCGCAGCTGGTGCAGAAGAGCAGGTCCCGCAGGTCGCCCGGCCCGTCGCAAACCACGCAGCGTGCGTCCTCTGCGCCCGAGAGAAGAGCTGATGGGCACCAGCAAAGCCAGAGCCGCGCCAGCAGCCAGGCCTGACTGCGCCCCCGTAACCCCCAGCCCCTCGTTCACGAGGCAGAACCCAGCACGCACCCATCTGCACCGCATCGCCCAGGTGCTCCGGACACAGCAGCCGCAGCGTCTTCATAGACTGGAAGGAGCCGCTGGCAGCAGCACAGGGGAAGTGGTAGAAATGGGGGCAGGCGGCCGCCCGGCACGGGATGGTGGCCCCCATCCGCTGACAGTGTTCACATTTCTGCAAGCGGAGCAGGCAGGGATCAGGGCCGAGCGCCGCCGCCCAATCCTCGGAGATGGGTCCAGGCTGAGCTCCTGCTGCCCAGCCCTCCCCCAGAGCCCACTGACCTGTGAGATCCCTGAGAAAACAGCTCTGCCCACGCCGCTCAGCCCCGCTGCGTCCTGCTCCACACCAGCAGACCAGGCTGCACAGCAGCGGTGAACCCAGCAGTGCCCTGCAGGGAGGGGCATCGAGGGTGGGAACCCCGGGGGGAACCAAGAGTGGGGGAACCCCAGGGTGACGGCAGCACCACGGGGACCACGAGATGGGGGGACCCCAGGGGGCACAGCAGGACGAGGGGGGATCCCAGGGGGCCACGGGATGGAGATGACCCCAAGAAGGGGTCACCGAGGCGCACTGGGGCCACACTCACCGGTCGGCTCAAAGAGCTGCACCGCTGTCACCCGCTCCGAGAAGCCGATCTGCGCCAGCTCATCGCCCACCGGCCCCAGCTCCGGGGGGGCCTCGCCGGGACCCTCGGGGGGCTGCTGCCCCCCCAGCCCTTCCAACCAGTCGGGCGCCGGCTCGAAGCGCTGCAGCTCCCGCTGCCCGTGCAGGCTCCAGTCCCCACAGTTGCAGAGGGCGCAGCGGCGGGTCGGCGTGCTGGGAGGGACGGAGGGCGTAAGGGACACACGGAACCCCCCCCCCCTCACCCCATGACCGGCCCCCCCCAAACCTCCCACCCTCACCTGCTGGCCCCGCCGGGTCCCTTCGTTTCTGTGCTCTCCGGCTCCGGCCCCGCAGTCGCTCCTTCTGGAGGTTTCAGGGGGTCCCCCTCAGAGCTCCCCATCTCCTCCGAGGATGCGGCCGCATCGGCTGTGGGGAAAGCAGCCATCAGCACAGGCAGGGAAGGGCATCCCGACCCCGCGGGGCTGGGGGGCAGAGCGCCAGGCCCCCCCCAGCATTCTGCCACGCGCTCACCTGGCGCGTCCGCGTCCTTGTCCTCGCTGCGCGGTTTCTGTTCATCCATTCTGCCTCCTGCGTCCCTCTGGAGAGGCCCGCGGCTGCCAGGGCACAAAAGCCATGAGCTGGGGGGG